GACATGGAATATGACAAAGATATGGGGGGGGTTAACCGATGGCGTGTGTGTGGGGGGGGGGGGGGGGACAACACAGTCAGGCCATCGGTTAAACCTCTGACATGACACAGACATGGAATATGACAAAGGTATTGTTGTTTTTTTCATGTATTTTTTGTTACCATTCCAATCCAGCAATGGCCAACTACAGAGATATGAGAGGAACAAACACACAGATTAACACATTGGAGAACACATACATCTACACACAGCCATATACAAGGCCTGGAGCCTCACTCTTCATTTGAGAAAAACAAAAAAACAAAATCATAAACAGGAAAATCAACCAGAAGCTCTCGTTCTTTCTATCTCACGCAGACGAGTGAACACACACACCGACAGCCGTTGTTAAACACACACTGCATGCAGATTCAAGAGGCAGCGCTGAGAGAGGAGGGAGAACAGGACGGCTACAACAATAGAAACAGCGTGGGGAGCCCAGTGAGAAAACGCCCGCTGCCACTGACTGCTGGCACATGAACACTCGAGAACATGTTGGTTAAAGAGACCGTCGGACTTTTGGGGGGTTTTCTGCTCACCTGCAGAAACAGACCCATGAAAGGCTCTCTGACAGCCCAGCTGATCTGACACAGAGTGGTGGTCTGATGTCCGTTATTATGCTGTTAATGAAGTTAATGAATACATTGTAATTACTGTAATCAAATGAGAGTTTGATAGACAGCGTGGTGCTCGGTCACCTCTATTAAGATGCAGTAGACTTGGAAAAATACAAACACCACAACCTCTCCATTCATTTGTTGTTTTCTCTTTATGTTTTTTTTGCTTTTTATATTAAACTTCAATTTTTAGTGGACAAGAAGTCACCTAAGAAGACAGCTTTTGACAGAATAGAGTTGGCCAACCTTATTTTAAGCTGAGACAAAAGACGTCTTTAGACCATGTCCATGATGACTCAGAGCCTTTCTGCTAATGGCGATCGATTGTCTGCTGTTAAAGAGCACCCTCTCAGTGTATACTGTCACATCTGTGGTGCCGGGGTCAAAGGTGAAGCGTGTAAGAGCTTTCCACTGGCACGGGGTCACGAGGCTGAAATCACACCTTTCATTTCCATGGAGGATAATTCAACGCTACTCTTTACGCCCCCTTGTCAGGGGGTGGATTAGTGCACCCCAGGGTGCCCTTTAAGACGCACGCTCGCTTTCACACCACGCATTCTCTCAGACACATACACAGAGCCTTCTTTCTGTTACTTTAAGAAGCCAGCTGGCCTTTAATAACAGAGCAAACAAAAGGCATCAATCTGCGCGCTGCCTCCGTAACACCAAACTGAGGCCTGACGTGAATGCAGGTGGAACCGCCATCGGGGAACTTGGTTCACACAAAGGCAACGGAGCTTTGGAGGCAGTTCAAGGAAACAGATGCTCCCGTCTGTGTGGTATTGGTGGCAGGGAACTGTGGCGGGACTTTGTTTCTGTGTGTGCCTGCTGGGTGGGTGTCGGGTGCGGGGAGACAGATATATGCGCGTTGTAAACATGAGCGCTCGGCTCCAACCGCTCCCTTCTGCCAGTGAAGCGTCGCTGAAACTAACTCAATATTTACATCCCCGCTAGTTCCTCCGTCTGCAGGGAGATCGCCGGAAAACCTTTACAAGAAATTACCAATTCAATTTGGTGGAAGAGTACAACGGACGGCAGACTGACAGAATGTTTGTGGTCATCTCCAGTTTCCCTTTAAAAAATGAATGATTGAACTGTAATGTGATGTTAACGTAACCTCAAATTTAGCTTTAGGGATAATATCTCGGTGTAATATCAAGTTGAAATATTACACTCTTTTCATTATAAAGCACACACCATGTATCAGTAGTCCTTTCACACATAAAGACAAATCCCTGCCATCATCCTTACTGAACTACTGATGGATTGCGAGAGGAAGACAACTGATGCGGGGCAAGGTCAATGCCATCATCACCCTCACCTACACCGCACACTCCTCCAGCCCAGCCCCTCCAGTTCAAAATCTAGATGGCAGTCAGACTCTGGAATCAGGCGATGGACGGAACAATTACATATTGATTGAATCAACAGGACAAACTCATCGGTGACGATAAATGTACATTTCACTTTATGGGTTCCATATCTCAAATTATTTTCTTCTGGACAAACACAAAATCTGGATTTCATCTGATAGTTCGAGGGTCAATACTGAATGCTGGTGAGCCATCTTCTCTCCAACAGTGTTTCCCTTCCTCAAACATCCACACCACTTTGTTAACTGCTGACTTTGAGCCAAATGCGTCCGTGGTTGCTTACAAAGTAACTTACAATTATGTAGTAGTTGGCGTAGGTAATAAAACACGGATGGGCATATATTTGAAAGACTCCTTGTAGATCCTCCAGTTTCCAGTTTGTATGCTAAGGTATGCTAAGCTATGCTAACGGTAGCTACATATTCATTGGACTGACATTAGAGTGGTAATGATTTTTCATCTATCGCTTCTGAAATTACAAATGATCTGAATTATGTGAAGCATGGCAAAGAAGAAGTGCTTTGCTTTTTGCCATGAGAGCAAATCAAATTGTATTTAAAAAGAATATTTCTGCAAAATATCAGCCACCAGAAATGGAGGCAAAATTCAATTCCAAACACTGTTTATATATTTGACGCTCAAAGGGGTAAAATGACATCTAAACAACTGCTGCAGCACTGCCCTCTAGGGGCTGAAACCTTCAGGCAATGTCACCTCTGGCCACACCCCAATCAGTGATGTCACAGCAGGTACTTTGACAGCAGATATAAAACATTAGAGAGTTTTCTTTCTTGTAGTTACTTAGTGTTAAATTATTTAAAAATTGCCTCAAAGCGGCTCTCAACGTCGACGGAGAGCTCATAGCTGATGATGCTAAAAGCAGAAACTAAGGCAAAAGTGCTGACACATCCCACAGTGTTGAGGGGGGACACGGGAAGGCGTTATCAGTTGTAACCACCGAATGCAAGCAATGCTAGCTAACAAGTGGGGCACGCTCACATGCGGCCAGCCCAGCGAACAACCGTGGTGTGTTTGCATCACAATGGCATGCTGCCTGTGACATCACGAAGACGTGTGTGGCTGTTTTGCATTTATTTCCATTCACACAACATGACATCACAGCCGGCAGTCGCTCTTGAAACACGTCAGCCTGCCAATGAGGGATCGATTTGCGATCCATTACCCAGAATTCACCAGCAGCCTGCGACAAGCTGAGCGGAGCCCCTGTCCTTCACGTACAGTGGGGGTCTCAAATGAAAAGGTGATTGGTCTTTAGAGAGACTGCTGCAGACGATCTTTGATACGCTGATATTTATTAAGGCCACTCAACACAATGGATTTTAAGTATTCGAAAACTACTAATGAATCTACTGTATTGATTTATAATATCAGAGAATAACTCATGTTTTTGTGGTGTTATTTTCAAACTGGTGTTTTATCAGTTTTGTCGAGTGTGATGTCAAATCTCAGAGTGCATGCTTCTGAGCTCCATCCAGATCAAACCTCTAAACTTAACCTTATTTACAACACACTTTACTCTTGTGCCCGAGTGTTAAAAAACAACAAGTAGCCTAATGATGATCAAAAAGAAATGTCAGAAGACGCCACATGTGGCTCATAAGCTAACATCTCTCTTATTACCAGCACGAGACACTGCACTCATTTTGGTCCCACACATTTAATTTGCGTTGATCAGAAATTGAGCATTTCTGAATGAGATCTAAAGGAGGAACCAACACGCTGTGACTGTTGATGGGACATTTCTAGAGCTGTAGCCCAATAAACACAACAGAGTAACACGGAGAGAGGATGCATGACTAAAATAAACAGCATCAGTGTGCAACAAATGTGGGCTATAGACTCTGTTTGGCACAGGCCTCCACACCTAAAATACACTGCAGCTATCAATATCCATCCTGACGGTGTTAACATCTAGTTTGCTTATATTACAAGCGGAAAAAATCTGCCTTTTTATAAGTGATAATTGCACCTGTTCCCAAATCAGGCTCTAAAAAAATGTGATCTTGAAATGAGTCTAAATAAGGCAGAATACTTCAGTAGACATAAATTGTATCAGCATCATTCATACACCATAAATTGGTTGGAAAGAGATGACCTCATACCACTTGCAAGACATCTCACTTCTCTTTTTAAAGGAAAACAAGTTTCTGCCACTTTATAGTAACTTATACATGAGATTTCTTTTTGTACCCTTTGTGGGGGATTTGGGGTTAAACTAACGTGTTCATGTGGACACGTTATACAGCGCTTTACTGTGAATGAAAAGAAGGTGTGAAGTGAGGGTTACTGTGCGTGTTTGGAGAGCCCCACGCGCAGCGGTGCGCCCTTACCCGCGCCGCTCTGGAGGAGTAGGGATCCTCGAATAGATTCCAGATCACCGGCTGCCACTTCCTCCAGAGGCTGACATTACCGTCGGCGGCCGCGTCCTCGATGCCGAGCCTTTTCCCTATATCGTCGTCATCCTCCCCGTTGTCCACGTTGAGCTCGAACACGTCCAGAGCCTCCTCTGCGTCCCGGTGCTGCCGATAAGTCATCCAGCAGCAGGGCTCCACGTCCGTCTCATCGATGCCCCAGAAGGAGAGCTCCTCCTCGAACAGCGGTCCGCACACATCCGCCGGGCAGTGGAGTTTCCCGGTGCGGTAGTAGTTGAGCACGTAGGCGAAGACGCCCGGGTGGCGGTCGAAGAAGTACTCGTTGGTCCGTGCGTTGTACTCGATGAAGCCGGGGACTTGTTGCAGTTGATCCAGCACGGAGTCGATGTCCGAGTCGGAGGCAAGCAGGGCCAGGCGCGTCCCCGGCAGGGTCTTCAGGGTGGATTTGTAGGTTTCGTGCCTGGTGCCCCCGACGTTGAGGATTATCCTCTCGTTGTCGTCAAACTTGCCCATCGCTCTGTATCAGACATGACTTGATGGAAAGCGGGGGAAGTTGGCGAGTGCAGTCGGGAGGCAACGGCGAGCCCGACGCGCGCGCACAACCCACAGTTCTGTTCAAAAAAGCTCCAGGATTTTCACTCTTCCGACGCTTTCGTGGCTATTTGGGGGGGGGGGGCGAGGAGGCTGTCCATCGTTCGCGACGGAAGGATTTCGGTATAGGTGTCGTATCCCACAATCCGTTCAGACATCCGGTGCACGGAGTGTTGAATGATCTCAAACGCCGGCTCCAACCAGACTGCGCTGCTGCTGCCGTTGCGCGTCTCTGGCGTCCCTGCCCTCTCCAAGACGCACAGCCGCTCGTCAGCGTCGACCTCGTTACTCAAAAACATGTAACACAACACCAGAGATATCAGTCTCCCGTTACACGGATTTTCACATTTCAGTTGTGCTGTTGTTTCTTTGCCTTTGAGGGGAGATGTTGGCTTCGGGGAAACCAACCGGCGCTCATCTCCGGTGCTGCTGTCACCGTCTTGGCTCGATAAACACAAACCAGAGGGAACATCAGCTACAACCAACCAGGAAACTAACTTTGTGCTGAAAGATTATCGAACAAAATAACAATGTTCATTTGAATCTGAACAGTTAACTATTATAAAATAACAAGCTCAATAAATTGTTATAAAAGTAGGATTCACAGAAAAACGATTGTTGATTTTGATTGTAAGCCTGTCATGCTTCACAGGTCATGTTAGGACCAGCTAACAGCATCCTTTTATCCTCAAACTGTTTCAGTGGGTTATGATTACCTTCTGCTTTAATTGGATTAATTTATTATAGGCTCGAGGGATTTCACATGTATGTGTGTTTAAGAGGAGAGGAGGTTGTTTTTCACAGAGTGAGGGAACAGCACTGCCTGGTGTTTGAGCATCAACATCCTCTCTCAACATGTGTGCATGAATCCCTAACACCCCACAGCCTCAGGTACACGTCACCTGTGCTCCCCTGACTTTATAGGTCGACAGGAGTAGAGCTGGACGATTGATTCATCAGTCAGTAGACGGAAAATGATCCCGGAAATGACTTTGACAACAAATGAATCTTATGGTTGCATTTTACAACAAAAATGTTCAAAAATGGACAGATTCCATCTTCTCTAATGTGAATAATTGTTGTGTAGGGGGGGGTGCAAAACAGAGAATCAAGATAATCAGGAGTTGCTGTAGTATAAAGCTGTTAGTATACACGTAGCATTTTGTTGTAAGAGAGGTAGAGACACAAGTAACATATTAAGTAGCATTTAAAAATAACAGTCATATTAATAATCATATAATAATAATACATCATAAAAATAAAACAGCTTGTGGCATCTTCTCGTGGTGTCTAATCTGAGATCACTCTGCTCTAATCATTTCCCAATGGTAGGGGTTTAAGTTGACTTCATCTTTGCCTGATAACGTACCAACATACATTATTGGGTTTTATTTCATTTTCAGGATTTTGTTTCTTACGAAGCCAACAAAACCAAAACTGTGTTCACATAAGGGAAGGAGATAAGGAGATAAGGAGATAAGGGCGGTGGAGAGAGCTGGTGTGCCTGATGTCAAACGGTGTTTTCATGAAGGTACCAGCTGAGTAGAAGTGAAAAGTGTCCAGTTCTAAAGGCCACGCTGTACACCTGCACATATCTGATCTAATGATACAAGTCAGCTGGTAGCCCAGCACATGCAGAATGAGTCACTGCTTGTGAATGAAGCAGCTGATGCCAGTGAGACTTCAGTGCTCTGACTGAACTAACACAATGCCCCACTAATACCAGTACTTATAGGGGTAATTGTAGTGGAGGCCATAGCAATACTGCTGCTAAGAATAGAGACAGGCAGTACCTTAGCTTATAGTAGAGGTTGTAGTTTAAGTAGAGGTATGGACATGTATGTTATCATTATAGAGCTTCAGTTAAACAGCTTCATGAAGTTGCTTAGGGCCCCAGAAACCAGACATTTGCGTTTTAACAATATGCACAATATTAAATTAAGATTTTATTTTTACGTTGACATTTTAGATCAAGTGACACACAGGGTCCTCCAGCAGTCTGTTTGCAGATTCACCAACCTTTGGACAAACGGTGAAAGTGTTGGTTGGGATGTTACCTCTCTCTCTTTATCCTCCCAACACAGACAGAAGCCTTGATGCCAGTTTGAGTTGTGACAGAGAGATGAATGCTAAAGAATCTGGGCACTCTCTCTGCACAGTGTCTACAACCAGACCCGTGACCCGGCAGCCTCCACTCTCCACACCGTGCAAGGAGGAAAGAGTGACATCTTTCAGGAATCGCACCTCAATCAATGAGGAGACACATTACATGCATCATTATTCCCTGATGCAAGGCTGCAACCTCTGAGTAACCCAATTACTCATTACTCGTATCGTTTAAACTGCTGAGAAGTTTTATTTCTGGTTCTAAATTCTGTGTTTAAAGATGACTTTCAATGAATAAAAAAAATAAAACAATGATGCTCAGACTCGGTGTGGGCTATGCTGACATAGTTTGGTCCAAATTATAATGTCTCTTCAGCATTTTAATCGGCATTAATTGGGCCTTAACTAGTCGAGGGAATTGGACAACAATGCCAGTAGGAATGAAGTTAATTAATTGGTCAGAAAAGCCATTAACCCATAGTGCTAATAGGTTAAATATGTATGGAAATTCACATGGAACCTCATCTGGGAGATTGTTTCAACATTTTGAGCAGCCAATACCTGCTTCTCTTGTTATTTGTCTCGTATGGCCGTTGTGAAAATGTGTCATTTGCGAGCTACTGCAGTTCACAATTCAAATTAAAATTGAATCTGTTGAGATGCCTCAAGTGTCATCTACAAAATTCCTAGGAATTATTATTGATGAGAGTTTAAATTAGAGTAAACATATTGACTATGTTAGTAGAAAAATAAACAAATCTACTGGAGTGATAAGGAGGGTTAGACATCTTGTCTCCTTATTCTTTATTACAGTATCATTTATCCCTATTGTTCATATTGTAATGTAGTTTGGGAAAGTACTTTTCCTACTACTCTGCAAAAAATGTTGGTCCTCCAGAAACGTTTTGTTAGGATCGCAACCCGATCAGAGTCACACATCTCATCTGCTCCTCTATTTCAGAAACTGCAGATTCTTACTATTTATGACATCAATATTTCTCAAACTTGTGTTTTTATTTATGAGATACTTTTAGGTGAAGGAATATTCCTGATCATTTCAAGACCTACT